TTTTTTTTTGTTTTCTTTTTTTTATTTATTTTATTTATTCATTTTTTTTTTTGGCTGCCGTATGTAAATTCAAAAATACTATTAATTTTAACGGGTAGTCCAATAATATTGTAAACTTGAAAGAAAAGGATGAGAGAGTAGTACAATTAATCCCCAGTGATTAATTATCTTGTCTGGGGCAGAAATTTTTCCAGTCTTATCTTTATTTGTCACTTAAGATAAATTAACCTTTGTCTGCAACTGATGTTTGTTTTGAAGTTAAGGTCAAGTCTGGGTGATATTTGTATTCACTGAAGGCTGGCATTTTATAAAACACATGCTTTATTTTTGTTTAAATATACATTTAATTGAGTTATTATAGATATGTTTTTTACTGCCTTACCGGTATGTAAATACAGGAATACTCTTTACAGGTTGTTGGATATTTAGGAATTATCTTGAAATTTTATAAATACAGTTGTTATTGCATATTCTCCTTCATATATTTGTAAATTTTTGTAATCAGTTAAAATTCTCATTCTGTAAGCTGCACCCTTATATTTCTACCCCTCGGCGGGGCCCTTGCTGACTGGTCAGTTTTCTAGTTGTGTTGGTCAAAAGCACAGGATTAACATGTTTGTTTTTTTTTTAAATCCGTTAAAATTTTCTTATACTGATGGCAATACTAACTGATTGATAATAATTTCGTTATGTTTATGAGGAATGATTTATAAAAATATTAATGTCTAGTAAATTTTCTAGAAATTGTTATAAAAAGGAGGATCCAACCCTGCCCTTCTCAAATCGTTTTTCTTCGTCTTATATTTTTAAAGGGGGGGGGGGTTAAGGGTAACAGATAACAAAACACTTACTGTATATGCTTTTATATGTCCAAAATAATCAACAATCTAAATTCACTTTTCAGCTTTGAACAGTTGAATACTTTGAAATATTTGGTGTTAAATCCGTTAGTCACTACATGGATGACAATATTTGGAATTTCTCATAAATAATAATACATAAATACATTCGCTTACAGACATTACTGATATTGCATTTCTTTTGAATGATGTTCCGTTTTATTTTTTTCTACATGCTCACAATGCTTTTTGCAATAAAATATTAGATTTCATTACGATAAAACAGATTAAAAAACGTTCTATTTCAAGTCGCCTTCTCAATGTACGATTGCTAAAGCATAGGATAGTCCAAGAGTTATTCCTCTTGTACATATTCTGAAATTGAAAGCAAGAAAGAGCAGACGCTGAGTGGCTAGTTACCTGCGATCTTCAAAAATTCTTGTTTTGTTTATCTGGCTGTTTGGTCCCTTGGAAACATGATAAAGTCTTGCCGAATGTCGTTGATTTCCTGAGTCACAGAAAGGCAACATCTACCGACCGTACACTCAGAAACATTTACACTGTCCCCGATCAATTTATGAAAAGCACCCGTAGCCAGAAAACGCAAACAAACCAACAGCTGCAAAGTGGAGGTAAGATGTGATTTTTTTTGTGGTGTTTATTAGTTTGTGTTCAATCAGACTCGCGAGATTTTTCGATAATATTAACTTCCGGGTACCTCACACATGGAGATGTGTATTGGGTTAAATGCATGTTTATGGTTTACACAAAGCGTATAAGGAAAGTTTAAGCAGTTGTACAAAGCCGAAGGGTTCTCCGACTTACGATGGATAAATTGAGTGTCATAAAAGCTTGGGTGCGAGCAAGTAGGAGGAGAATTTCTATCGAAGTACAGGTAAACAATTCAGAAAATGTCACCTGTTTTTTGTGTATTCTTTGGGAAAATAGAAGTGTCTTATATTATGTCTGATAAGAATAGTTTTATCATCATCATTCCAACTAATTTATTACCAGATTTTTCTTGAATTCGAGGATAATGATGTTATTACCAGCTGATTTAGGAGGAGTAGTGTAAGTGGGTACATACCTCTAATTATTTTTAGAATCGGTAGGGGAAGAAAGTAGTGCAGAAAAAATTACAAGTTCTTTAATTTGCAGACCTGAATAAAAAAACTGTGATAATGTATTAAACTGAGCCTCATACTTGTTGATAAGGAGTATGTTCCCTTGCAAAAAACCTTGGCAGATGTAATTTATCAATAAGATCAGCAGAATTATTTATGTATTACAACACCAGTGAGAAGTCTGGAATTCCCCTACTTTCACTTTCATTTTCAGAGGTTAACGCAGACAGACGCATTTTGCCGGAAAACGAATCTGACATGCCACCTCGAGATTTTAACCAAGGAAAGACAACTTGATGTGCTTTGATTGAGGGGTCACTCACTGCTGAACGAAAATTAGGGACATTGCTATGTGAAGAAACGTTAACATTGCCGCCTATGAGAAAACAATTAGTGGACTGTACCCAATATGTGGAGCCTATATGTGGTAAGAGAAAATTCTCATAGATCTTAATTTTGTTTTTAACTCGGTGTTTACTATCATTTCCAATTGTTTAAATTAATGAAGGAAGCACATTTTAATTTGTTTATACATATTTTGAAAGAAATTGATTTGTTAATAGCCCCCCCCCCCCTCCTTACCCCCTTAGGAACAGACAGCTTATGCTCATATCTTCCATTGTGTACACATGTACATGTAGCATGTAAATTAAATGTATCGATTTTATACAGTTTATTAATTCAGAGCCATTAATAGATATTTAAAAAAAGAACAGTTATTTTAGAAGTACATCCACCACTATTGTTTATTTTCAATACACAAAAATTCACAAATGAGGTCGGAATCGGTATTCAGTGAAGTTCAAGGTCAAAGAGAAAGTAGAGTGGCAGTAAGTTATAGAAACTGCTTAGTGCTACCTAGTGCAGAGTCTTGCAGTATGTAGGTGATATGCACTTGTCATTTTATGAAAGAGATAAAGAAAAAAAAAGGTTTCCATGCCTTTTTACAATATTTATAAATGAAAACTTTTAATTTCATGGAATAGAATTACATGAATGAGGACATAGTATACATGTGCATTCTTTCAAAGAAGTTGGTCAGGCTACAGTTCTGTGGAAGTTAAGCTGTGTGTGCGTGAACATGCACACTAATATTTTTTATATTTTACATGTATTAACTGCATTACATGTATCTGTCAATGTATAATTATTGTCAGTAAACATGCTTTTTACCTGTATTATTAATTTACATGTAATTTATCAATGTTGAGACTAATCAGTGCAATTTCATAATTTTCAATTGATATCAAATTATGGGCATAAAAGCAATGTGGTAGGATTGTGTGTGTTTGATGTCTGTCTGTGAATGTTTTAGGTGCTTTTGATGCTGATAAATTATTGCACCATTTTTTAATTTGATTTTTTTTTAGGTTTATGGTGATACAGGACAACTTCCAGGTTCATGCAGATGGTGTTTAAAGCTATCAGTCAGTAAAAACAAACTCATTTGAACACATCTTGAGTCTTCACACGTAAAATGATGACAGTACTTTCAATATGTAAGTTGAATTTTCTAAAGCTTCTTTGTGTGTGTGGTTGGGGGGGGGGGGGGGGGAGGAGGTGAGGGAGGTGGTGTTAAAGCTTAGAAAATGTAGATTTTAAATGAATATTTGAGCTATGAAAGTGACCATCAAACTAATCTGTACATGTATGCTATATATTTTACAGCTAATATAATTTGAAAAGAATTTCAAAACAATATTTAACATTCATAGTGTTGTGTATGATAAAATATTAAGATTAAAAAATACTAGAGTTAAAATTTCTTTAATATTTGTCAGTCAAAACGAGCGACTTGTAAGGAAATTCAAAATTTTCAAAGTTCTCTTTCATTTTTCTACGAATTACAAATTGGTTACCATGGAAACAAAACATTTTCTGTAGACTATTTATTTGATCTGCTCACGCAAGTATTTTTATTATTTCATAGTTATAATGAATATTTTAGTTCTAATTTCATCTTTAATTAAAAGTACGGGGAAAGTAACACTACGTGTGTAATAAGCAATCCATTATTATAATGTCATTATGACGTCATAGATGAGTGAACTTGCATTGGCGTAAAAATTGCTTTGAAACAGATGAATGTACACAAGAATATATAGGCTTATAACTTTTTTATTCCTATACCAATTTTCTTGAATGATACATCAATGGACAGGAAATAATCAGTATTTTCTATTTTTACTACTTTTGGGGTATTTGTAAACTTAATTTTTTGTCTATCATGGAGAAACAATGAATTCAAGGGTGAGGGATGATCAAATTTTGTGCGAAAATGCATTGATTTTTTGAAATAAGAGAAATGGACCCATATGAGTGCTTGATTGTAATTTTGCTTGATGTATTTAAAGTCATGAAAGAGAATAAAAATGGTATAAGTACATTAATAGGCTAACCGATGACTTAAAATGTGGGTGCAGTTGTGGCTAGATGGAAGCATTTTTAAAGGATTTTGTTTATAGAACTGTGCATGCTGTAAAATCTTTATTAATGATTGAATTTTCCTGAAATTTGGCATAGTGTCACTACATAGACTGTAGTATGACTTATGATGTAAAATGTTGTAAAATCCAGAAAATACCTCTTATTATTTTTAGAATCGGTAGGGGAAGAAAGTAGTGCAGAAAAAATTACAAGTTCTTTAATTTGCAGACCTGAATAAAAAAAACTGTGATAATGTATTAAACTGAGCCTCATACTTGTTGATAAGGAGTATGTTCCCTTGCAAAAAACCTTGGCAGATGTAATTTATCAATAAGATCAGCAGAATTATTTATGTATTACAACACCAGTGAGAAGTCTGGAATTCCCCTACTTTCACTTTCATTTTCAGAGGTTAACGCAGACAGACGCATTTTGCCGGAAAACGAATCTGACATGCCACCTCGAGATTTTAACCAAGGAAAGACAACTTGATGTGCTTTGATTGAGGGGTCACTCACTGCTGAACGAAAATTAGGGACATTGCTATGTGAAGAAACGTTAACATTGCCGCCTATGAGAAAACAATTAGTGGACTGTACCCAAGTGTCAGATGGGTACGAACGTCATCTTGTGACTGCATCACCTTTGTTTGGGTAAATAATTTGTTCAGAATACGCTTCATTTATCAACAGAAATTTAGCTGTTGCATGTCAGTGGGTTTAGTTTTTTAAGTATTCAAAGTTTGAAAGCACTTATCAGGTCCAGTACAATCTCTTGACTTAGCTATATAGCTTTATTTAGCTATAAGGTTTATTAAGCTATTCAGAATAACTTAATTTAGCTATATTATTACACTTTCTTCTTAAATGTGTAATTTTCTCAGCATGCACAAAAAGTCGCACCTTAGTGCAGTGATGATATAATAAACTCATCTGAAATTGATGCAAGTAAAAATCACTCATTAAAATCTTCTTGAGAGACTTTGTACTCAAAGATCTAAAAGTTTTTGGGCTACATAACGCAATTGATACAGTTACTTCTCCAATGAAATTATAAAGGAGGCCAACATTATTGTCAACAAGATAATTGATTGGTAATAAGGGTGCATATCATTACCGCTACGTCATTTTCAAAATTTTCATTACCGCTACATGCACATTACCGCTACAAAAAAGGATACATTACCGCTACATTTGAAAGTATACATTACTGCTACATTGCCTCTTTCATTAGCCAGCGTCTTATGCGTGTACAGTACAATATACATGTATATATATATATATATATATATATATATATATATATATATATATATATATATATATACACATGCATTAGACCTGTTTCCCTGCACCTCCACACTTTGTTTAAAAGTCTTATTTATATGAAATTTATCTCCATTAATAACTAATCCTGCATTGCTGCGATTTGTCACAAACTTCTCAATAGTAGCCATGACATTCATGTGACACTAAATCGACAACAGACTCATATATGCTCATTTTGATTAGAATTCGGATCCAAATTGTACTTCAATACATGGTGAGTAAATTATATTGAATGGAACTCAAATACCATGCCATTGCTGGCAGATTCGGTATGTAGCGGTAATTAGTTGTTGTCGGCATTAGTTCCTTTCATAAAATGTAGTGGTAATGATCACCCGAAAATTTGAGAAAATGTAGCGGTTAATGAGTTGAAATTTTTCTTAATGTAGCGGTAATGTTGACCTCCCGGTAATAATTCAGTAAAATGAGAAGCAATCATACTTATCCATGTCTCAATGTCACACAAGGTAGTGGACAGTTACTCAAACAATAGAAATTTATCTTTTGCTTAAAAGTATTCAAAAGTTGCAAAGTTAGAGCTATCTTTGATTTTGCTTGTTGTTTCGATAGCCCATAGCACATATATGAATAGTCAAATATATGCGTCTTTTTGTCTATTTCTTAGAAAAATAATTTTTGTGAAAAACTGCATATAAATAGCTAAATCAAGCTATTTTGAATTAAGTTTGATAAAGCTATATAGCTATTTCAAGCTATATAGCTAAATTAAGAGATTGCACAGGACCTGCTTATTTCCCAACGATAAGTCTTTCTTTATATATTCTGCAAATTCTCTCTGCATTTATCATTGAACAAAATTCATATGACTACAATTATATGACCATATTCTTCAATTTAGAGAACATGTTAGGCCAAACAAAAAAATATGTGTGATTCCGGTTACACCTCCAAAAAAATTAGGGTAGGTAGGGATTTTTTTTTTTTAATTTTTTTTTTATTTTTACAAAATGATTTTCTAAATTTTTCTAAATAATATACTCACTGCTGTGCAAGTGGCGTTTGGATGTGGCGTGATAATATACAAGTCAACATTGGTAGGGACACCCTAGTTATGAATTTGAAACAAATATTATTAAATCAAAAATAATAAACACACTAATAATCTTAATAACTTCTTCTTGTAAAAAAAAAAGTTCGAGGTTTTAATCCATGTTTATAAAGGAAATTAATGACTTTTATCCAGAGTAATTCTTATAATTCTTACTTTAATAATAAATTTTGAACGATAAACTAGAAAACAGACATAGAGTACACTGTAAAAATTGTGTTTAGGAAATAAACACTTCTATTACATGTTTAGATCTAAACGTGTATAGTATTGTGTTTAACAACTAAACACATGTCTTAACATGTTTTATATCTAAACGCGTTTAGAAATTAAACACGTTTTACTGTAAAGTGCAGAGTTATCTTCCCGGAAATGACACACATATATTTGAACGTTAATTTGAGCGGCTATGTAAACAAAGAAAACGCAACAAGCTAAGGTGATGTATCAATGAGAGTTATGACAACCCAATTCAAGGGATAACCATGACGAAATAGTGAAATACATGAAAGGGCATCTTGTTGCTGCAATACATTAAAGGTTTGTTTTCTTCTTCTTTGCATTAATTAACCACGATGAGCAACGTAAGTAAAGTTGACTTGGGTTATCGTGAATTCGTTCATGGACTTGCAGGAGAAGAAATAATATTAAATGTCATTAAAAATATCTATATTTATATCTGTGTAGTTTCACTAAAATTTGAACAATTTTGTTTTTCTAAGTAATGTAAAATATCAGTGATAGTGTACTTTTTCTAAAATCTGGCTTTCTTTCCTACAGGCACCGTACGTAGTCCAGATCGAACTCAAAATACACGTATCAGAGTACCTGGTGTCATCTTCAAGTGCAATGTTGTTGTTCCATAATCAACACTTGAAACTTCATTTGATGAAGACTAAGTACTATGTTAATTCGACAGTGTTTACAATTATCCTCGTGCATTCGAAATGGGTTACTTTCTGGCAGTTATTGATGGGATATAGATTATAATATGTGGTGCTTTGGGACTTGATGAAAGTTCATAAAATTTGATATTTTGTGATTGACATGAGGAAAACTCTGCAGCCGATTCAAAATATAATGATTATAATATATATATATATATATATATATATATATATATATATATATATATATATATATATATATATATATATATATATATATATATATACATTTTGTATTTTTAGTTTAACAATTGTTTAATAAAGCCTTTTAGAAATATTCAATGAAGTTTTGATATTAAATTGTCAGCTTAATATCATTTTCTTAATAATTTTGAAGATTTAAAGTTTGTTATCTATGTGTACGTTATAAATTATGTGTCATTCTGATTGAATTGTTGAGACTAATCAAATCTATTCAGTTCTATCTCCTACATTATTTGTGTAAATTAAGTACATGTACATCGCACAGTGACCATTGCATTGTATAATTAAATACTAGTACATATCCCAACGTTCAGTGGCTTTATGGAAAATGATTAATATTGGTTACATATTTTGAAAATTTTGACAATTATGCGCATTTAAAAAACATATACTTTTTGTGCTTAAATTTTACGAGAGTGTTTTGTTTTTCTGTAGGTACAAATTAAACTTATGATGTGTTTAGATTTTAAACACATCTGCTGTTATGTGTTTAGAATTTAAACACTTGTGTTTATGTGTTTAGATATGTTTAATTTCTAAGCACACAAGTGTTTAAATTCTAAACACTTTCTAAGACATGTTTAGGAATTTTACATGTTTAGAAATTAAACATATAAAAAAGGAGGTGACAAGAAAGTGTTTAGAAAAGTGTTTGAATTGTAAACACATTTTTTACAGTGTACTGCTAAGAGCTGTCAGAGGAAATATATTTAATATTGATAAAATTTTAAATTCTTACAATGAAAACTTTTTGCCTCATTGAACACTTTATACTTCCAAGCTCATTTCTCATATATATTGGTGTCGCCCGCGTGGCGCAGTGGTCAGAGCGTCTGCTCTAGAGTCGCGAGGTAAGGAGTTGATCCTTACGTCGCGGGTTCGAATCCCACGGTGGGACGTGGAAACCGGTCCTTCGGATGAGACCGTATAAACCGAGGTCCCGTGTCGCAGTAGGTGTTGGCACGAAAAAGACCCCTCACTGCTCAATGGCCGTAAGTGCCGAGCATAGGACAAAATTTGCAGCTCTCCACCGGAAAGTGGTGGCGTCTCCATGTGAGTGAAAAATTCTCGAGAGGGACGTTAAACAACATACAAACAAACATATATATTGGTACTATGTGAGTTGACTTTATTCAGGTAAATTCAGCTGTCTTGTTTTTCAATTTTCCTCATCAACTGTTTTTTTTCTACTTTTGGTTTAAAAGAAACAATCCTGATTTAAATTATTTCGTTATTTACAAGTTAATTTATCTTGCACATTGGGCTATTTCTTGCGTAATCAATGCAATCAAATGATGTTTTCTCATGTTATCTTCTCCCTAACTCCCAAAGGCATATTACCTGGCCAGCCGTCTGTGAACGTATATTTATTTAATTTTGGCAAGCAGAAACAAAACAAAACAAAAACATGTTGCTGGAAAAAAGGAATGCTTCCGTGCTATGCTAGCTTGCTTAAGATTTAACACTATCAATTGACTAAAAGTTGAAACGATGTTTTGCATGGAGGCCATCATTGCTGAAACTAAAACTAATACCGGAACCGATGACGGAAAGCGGGGGAAATTGCGGAAAAAATATGAAATTTGCCGGAAAAAAGTTTAGGGTCGGGGGTATAAAATAGGGACCGTCGGGTAACCGGAACCACACATATTTTTTTATTTGGCCTTATAGAGGATATTTTGGTTAAAGTTTTGGTCGGTTTCAGTGTTTGAAATATTCTTTCATCTTACACAATTGTATACATTAAGATTTATTTTATAGCTAAAGTACAAGAGAAATGCAACATCTAAGACTACATGTACATTGACTTTGAATAATCTACCCGGAATCCTCAAAAAGGCAACTCAAATACAGGTATGAAATTGATGTCACAAAATAAGTTTTTGGACTTACATTTACTCTTATAATACATATACATGTAAAGCATATCAAAAATAGAAAAGAATTAAAAGGTTCATCAGGTGACAGCTCAATCATGTATGGAATATTATTAACGCTGAGTTTCAAAATGTCAAAAGGGTATTCGATATATTCCATACAAGTTGTCAATCATTTGTAAGTGATTTGTACAGAGGTTCATTTGCATATAAATGTTGTTAACATTGTTTTACTGTCTTTATTAACTTGTGATACTAAATTTTATAAATTGACAAATTCATTCTTTTTAGAAAGTGCATATAATTTGGAAAAGAGACCATCAATCCACTGGGGGGTATCGCATGAAAGCAATGATTATAGAATATTGTAAGGCTGGAGGAGTTATAGTGCAATAGGCAGGCAAGTAATGGTACTTTGTTCTGGAAATTTTTCGCCCCAGTTATAAAGTTTTATTTTTCTCATTCTGCCCTCCTTACAAGTAGGTGAATTTAAAACGGGACAAATTCAAAGAAGGCAGCATAAATCTTTTAAACATAAAAGTGTCTAATCAAATTGTAAAAGGGCAAAATTGTTTTCAAGGGTGAAAGAGTGAATATTTTAAAAATTAGAATGGGGTGAAAATATCCAATAATACAGGTTATATGTATTAACACAGTACATATGCATTTCTCTTTTCTTTATAATGAAAATAATTTGTTCTGTAAAACGACAAATTTTGTTCTGATTTGTATGAAATAAATAAATATGTGCCAAATTTATTATTTTGCAGGCACCTATATTACCATCAGTTGTGCGCCAAAGGCATCAAGCTGTGCAAAAATTCTATGTCATGTTACAGAATCTTTCTTAAATACAGGTATATGTCTGCTCATCTGGCAATCTTAGGACATCACTGGATGGTTTTGTTTAAAAAGATTACAGAGTTAACACACACTTCCAGCATGAAGACCAGCCAGTTGCCTCACCTGTCCTGATATTGATAAAGGTAAATGGCCCTTTCAGAAAAGGATCTGACAATGCAAAGGCTAAAATGCTCATCAGTTAAATATTTCTATTTACTTATAGCTTATTAATTTGAATTTCTGTAGCTTAAAAATTTAATGATGTGAGTTAAAAAAAATATTTTAATCAAAATAATTTTATTTCAGTACTTTGTGACAGTGAAAAGACATGGCTTTGAATTACAGCATCAGAGATCCATCCAGGTTATAAAGCTGAGGAAAACAATAAAGCATCACTTCGAGCTACTTATATCACTGCCTTAATAAGTTGTCTGCATGTTTAACAAAGGACAGTGACCAGTTGTACCTATGATATCAGAGGGCATCCTGAAAAACACTCATCACTAAGCATAGAAAACTTCATATGACTTTTGTATCAATCCTTTTGAATTTCATCTGGCTTGGACTTTCAGTAGCCTTTAGCATCCTTCAAGCATTTCATGAAGTAGATGTACCAATTTTCAGATGTTAAATGTTTGGAACAGATTGCTTGTCCCAAATTAAAAAAAAATAAAATACTCTGCCAATTAGCAGTGTCATGAGCAGTTGATTGATATCACAGTTCCACTGGCATAGTATTTATAGTTGAATGGTTCCATTTTTAAGAAAAATTTTCACAAAAACCTGGAAAACATCAGATGGAAAGCAGCATCTACAAGAAAGACACTGAACACTTTTTTGTATATTAACAATGATATATCATGCCCGTTTACATCATTTATATAACCTAATTAACCAAATTATAGAGAATTATGTACAAATTTGTCCTTTTGTGTATTTATAGTGTATTAAATTGATTTTACTAACTTATAAATATTTATGTTTTTCACAGTCATTAACATTTACAAATGGAAGTACATATAACATAAAAATATTACATGTTTAGTAGGATAACGTGAAATTGTTATTCCACAAAAACCATCGATGACCTCGCCTCGGTCAGCAATGGTTTTTAAGGGGTAAGAATTTCACATCACCCAAAATAAACAGGTAATATAATATTTTTCTTGTTATAGAATGCATTTTAAGGAAAACATCAAGGTGAAACGAACGTGCAAACATTCTGCACAGTTAATGTTTTTTATAACTGTATATACTGTTACCCGTAGTCATGCATTTTCAACCATTGGGATGTAATGTTTGGCATGCAGTATGGTAATAGTACTTGTTAACAAATGTTTTTTAAACCAATCAAATTTGACTATTTAACATGAGAGTATACAACAAATTTATCTAGCATTATGGTGCTGTGAGTAACCATGGAATGTGAGCTTGTGTGAACTTGATCCTGAATTATTAAGGTTTGAATATTGTAATAAAGAATTGTGCAGCCCAAACTTTAACTTGTACCTGATTTAAATGGAGTTCCGTCATTAACAACTTGGAAGTTGTCACACTCTTCATGAGTATAATAACTGAGGGATCTGCTTCATTTGCAGATACATGGATAACACATTCACTCAAATGAAATATATGGAGATAACGAACAGTATTCAAGCTCAAAAGTCCATTATACAATACAAAATAGGAGCAGAGCAAACACGGACCTCCAAACATCAGAGGTGGGATCAGGTGCCATGGAGGAGTGAGCATCCACTGCCGACCGGTCACACCCGCCGTGTGCTCCTTGTCATGATCGGGAAATAACGGAAAAATCCGTCGACAATTCAGTGTGTAAATAATGGTCTAACAATTAGTATGAAAAACGTCAGTCAGCATTTGACTCAATGATAAATTGTATTTGCTGACAAGGTCATTGTATCGACCAAAGAACTTACGAAATGATGACTTTAAACGAGACAGCTGATATTCTTGTTTCATCAACTTATTTGTCAATAATTTACCTCGTTTTAGATATTGTACATACGTAGAGCATGCTCTTGCGTATCGAATCAACTGAGAGATATATACCCCGTAAGCAGTCCCTTTTTCAGTACCTTGTGCAGCCTGTAACATATAATGACAAATGGAGAAAAATGCCTTTTTCAAGGGAAAATAGTCTGTCTCATAATTGTAGGAGTATTGGAAAGGGGGGGGGGGGTCATGAAACTTGGCAGTTAATACAGTTTGTATGTGTACATGAAAAAATGCCTTCTTCTTTGTAGAATAAAAAATGATTGTTTTTTGAGTGTGTGTGTGTGTGTGACCATTTTTAATTCTGAATAGACTGGGTAGACTACAGAATGAGCTGACCTTTTTAGCACACCTGAGTGGAAGGCGTAAGTGAGCTTTTCTGATCACATTTTATGTGTAGTCCGTCCGTCTGTAAACTTTTCACATTTTCGACTTCTTCTCAAGAACCACGGGGCCAATTTCAACCAAACTTGCCACAAAGTATCCTTGGGTGAAGGGGATTCAAGTTTATTCAAATGAAGGGCCATGCCCTCTTTCAAGGGGAGATAATAAAGAATTAGTGAAAAATTAATCGCATATTTTAAAAATCTTCTTCTCAAGAACCACAGAGCCAGGGAAGATGAAACTCTTGTGGAAGCATCCTCAGGTAGTGTAGATTCAGGTTTATTCAAATTATGACCCCCGGGGGTAGGGCGGGGCCACAATGGAGGATCAAAGTTCTAGATAGAAATATATAGGAAAATTTTTAAAAATCTTCTCAGGAACAGGAAAGCCCTGACTTATCATATTTATGTGGAAGTATCCTCAGGTAGTGTAAATTTACCGGTATGTTTGTTCAAATCATGACCCCCTGGGGTAGGGTGGGGGCCACAATGGAGGATCAAAGTCTTAAATAGAAATATATAGGAAAATATCTTCTGATGAGAACTGCAAAGCCATGATTAGTCAATTTGATACGGAAGCATCCTCAAATAGTGTAAATTCAATTTTGTTCAAATGATGACCCCCGGGGGTAGGGTGGGGCCCAATGGGGGATCGAAAGTTTTACATAAGAATATACAGAAAAAATATTTCTTCTCAAGAACTGAAAAGCTATGTTTAGTGATATTGATATGGAAACATCCCCATGTAGTGTAGATTCAAGTTTGTTCAAATAATCATAATGACCTATGGGATAGGGAGGAGCCACAATGGGGGATCAAATTTTTACAAAGGAATATATGGGAAATTTTTTTTAAAATGAACTCAAGTACAACAAAGCCATTTGTTATATTGACATGGAAGTATCATCAGATAGTTTAAAATTCAACCCCCCCCCCCGAACCTTTTCAATACTGAACTGATTTGTGCTTTTGCCTTGCCTGTTGAATGTGCTCAGGTGAGCGATGGGCCCATGGGCCTCTTGTTTATTTATTGCAGTAATTAAATTTAAAAAAAAGAATGTGTTTTCTACAAGGATCATGTGTTATTGATGTGGTATTCAACTTTGCATTCCCATATTCGATGCATTTGGGTACATCTACTTTTTATTTGCTTTCAATGACATTGCATTCAATATCCCAATCTCATGCGTATACCTCACAGGCACTTGTTTCGTATACGGGGCACCCCTACTTAATTTTACTACAAGGTACCTAACTCAATTTCAGGCACCTCGCTTCAAGCTCATATTTTGTTCATATATCAATCATTAACCTACTTTAAAATTATATCGTTTGCTTCGAGAGACTTTTTTCTTGTCAAATAAATCCTTTCAGATGTCTCTGGTTGATCCTCTTTATTGTAAACCACTCAACGACATATATTCCTCGAAAATTAATTAAGACTTAAGATGGGATACAAATTTCTGGTTGGGGTTATAAATGAAGGATAAAACCAGATCGGAATGGAAAACTCAGAAGTCTTTGGTTTTATCCTAACCCCAACCGGAAGTTGTATCCCATCTGAGTCTTAATATGTATCGGGGTAATTTTCGAGGAATAAATGAGTGGTTTACAATAAAGAGACTCGACCAGAGATGTCTGAAAGGTTTTATTTGACAAGAAAAAAGTCTCTCGAAGCGAACGATATAATTTTAAAGTAGGTTAATGATTGATATATGAACAAAATACGAGCTTGAAGCAGGGGTGCCTGAAATTGAGTTAGGTACCTTGTGGTAAAATTAAGTAGGTGTGCCCCGTATACGAAACAAGTGCCTGTTGTATACCTGTGCCAATACTCCAAATTATACCATTGTAAGCTAAATCAATGCTTTAAATTTATGAAACCAATCTGTAGATAAGCGTACCTTTTGAATACAGACGATTTTAGCATAAAAACGATTTAATTTTCCCTTAATGCTGAAGTATGTTGGCTAATCTTGGCCCCCTCGGAATAGCTTGAGTTTACGTCATGTAATGAAAAAATAAAGCAATTAAACGCTATTTACCTGCATCTATCAATCCATTTTCTCCTCTTCTTTGCAAAAATCGGGAATCAAAACAAACTTTTAATAAGTTTAAGTTTAATAATTCCACTGCGATGATTA